CCGCTCTGTCTAAGGGCTCTGAAAGGTCGATTTTTTGGAAGGAACTTTTTGAAGTCCGATCTCGATGAAAATTTTACCATATATGCGGCTCATACCCTAGAGCCAATCCTGAAGTTTTCAAGTTTTTTCCTCATTCGGTTCTCGAGATATTCGCTAATTACTTCTTAATAAGTTAATTATTAATTAATTAATTAATTAATTAATAATCATATGAAAGAGCAGACAATTTTACATAAGCCTATGCAAAAACAATTCACTCAAAACATCTATACTGATAGAGAATTGCATTCAAATGCAATGAGGGAATGTCCCGTTTTCGCTGATTTTACCCATATATTTAATCGAAAAAAAAAAATAATTGATCTCTTTTTATACTGCTTACTTTGAAATACTTTGTCCAATAAGTTTAGCAGTTAATGTTCGTTTGTCATTAATTTCAGTAAATCAACATTTGACATGTTGAGTAAGCTATTGTTTTAGAAAAATGCAGAAATAAAAAACTCTTGTTTCTTTTTCTTAATATTTACATATTTTTAATGCTTGACTAATACAAATTTCTTCTATACATCGAATTTGAATGTTGAAATATAATTAGAAGTGTTTCCAATGAACTCGATACAGCATTATGGTCATTATATTGTAAACAAATATAACATACCATATGAACACGCTAAAATGATTCACATTGAAAATAAAATCATCCCTTATTTGTCGAATACTGACTGATTGAAAGATGTTATTCATTTGTATCAATATTTTTACTTACATTTATTTGTTATTGACTATTGCTTGATAATGATTGGAATTCTTACATATTTAAACCAAGTAACTGAATAAGACTTTTTATTAAACTAAGATAATCAATTATTAAACATGTAATATTATTTTGATTATGATGTTCAAGTAAATTGATCTATTAAAATAAAAGAAAATTACAACGAATTGAAATTATTATTTGAACGAAAACTTACCAATCGTATTGTCATTAGAAAACGTGTTATAATCATAGGATAACGAGTTATAATAAATAAGATAAACAACTGATCAACGACGAATAAGTGTAGATTCATGTGACATATTTACCAAATAGGCCACAAGAAGTTCCTAAGAATAATTTAGTTCGATTTCGTACTTCAACTATAACAATAGTTAGTGAACTACTATGACTAAATTAGTTAATTTCTCATTAAAATTCAATGGCCAATAAATTTTTTTATTCTTAACTTGCATGATATTCTACGCTCGATTACTGTTGAGGACGGATTGCTCCGAATGACGGACAGCTTCTCAGTCTGATTTTCGTCAATTAGTATTCGACTACCTATTCTATATTATCTGAAAAGCGTTTTCTCCTGCTTGAAGGTTTTAACCGAAATACAGGCCCAGAATCTATTGATTAACTAGAGCAATCCTTTTCCATGAAATGATTTATAAACTATTCTATGTTTCTATTCAATCGCATGATATTTCTCTGACACTTAAACATAAATGATGAAAACAATCTTTCGTTTGCTAGTAAGCAAAAAGACACTTGTATACATAACAAGTTATTATGCAACAAAAAAAAATGCCTATCAATAAAGAAAAAAACAAGAAACGATCTCTATTTAACTGAGAAGACAAACAATTTTTTTTATTGGAATTTTTCTACTTTTTTTACAATACTATTGAGATTTGTATCTATTTTCATTTGTAAGATGAACGAAATAGCTAACAAAGATGAGAAAGAAAGAAACAAACATGGCAGTAAATGGTAGTTAACAGCAATGCACATAAAGTAACTAAGATGAGAAAATCATGTGAAGAAAAAACAGCAACAATATTTTTAAATTCCATTTATGATTAAAATTTTCGTTTCTTTTTCTTTTCAACGAACGAACGATCTAGATAAGAAGTCCTTTAGAGTATATCTATAACAAACAGCCAAAAAGCAACAAGTATTAACAGAAAAAGAAAGAAACAACCAAAATATATCTAGAGGGTATGGGTATGAACAATGAGAAGACCTACACACTTCTATGATAAATAAAATTATTGATAATCGTATTCGACAAGTAATACAAAAAAAATCTCTTACTCTTTCCTTTTTGCATATTCTTGTTTTCAGTTTCATGTTGATTGTCATTGATGAATCATTAGATACAATGATATGTTTATATTCATTTCCATATATGATACAGTTGATCTTGTAGATAATTTTCATTAAATATCACAACAGACTTCAGAAGCTGAGTATCAACATAAGATAGAATCAGATGTTGATATAAGTTATGGTCATTCGTATTTGTTCAACAACATATTAATTTTATTTTGTTTCAATCAGAATTATGTGGATTGATGATCTAATGATAATAGAGAGTTATAAGACGTTTCAACATTGACATAACTATGGTCATTTGTTCCATCTTAGCCAAAGAAAAAACAAGTGTCTATAATTGAATAATGTTATTGATCAATTCTTGTGGTTCATTTAAGCTCGTTATAGACGATTGATTTACATTAAAACGGCTAGAATTATTTGACTGATACTTTATCAACATGTTCTACTAGTCTTCACAAAACTAGAACCTTATTGATGTTCGTATGAGAATTAATAAAATTTCTATTGATAGCAAAAATACTTTCGAAAAATCGAAGAATTAGAGCATTAAGGAAAATAAACATCATTTTTTCGACATACTTATCCATAATATGAAGTTGAAAAGTGTCTAGTATTGGAATGAGCTTTGTTGTTGATTTTGAAAATGACTATCGTTTTTTTTCTCTTTGCATCAGTGATTGAATAAAAATTAAACCTGATAATTAAACTTATCTTTCTGAGGTATAAAATCTACTAGCTACTATAGATAAGGAGGCCTTCAAATAAAAATAGTTTCAAGATAGAATAGAACAAAAGAAAAAGATGATTTTTCAAAGAACATTAGTTCTCTATCTGACCGATATAGACATGTTATTAGTTAGTTAAAGACTTTCATTAAACTAGATATTTTTTTTAAATTTAGAAATAATCGTCATTGCCGTTTCGATCACACAAAAATATTTCAACGTAAACCGTGTCATTTTGTAGATTTTCATTTTTACAAGTAAAATTCATTATGTTTAGCAAAATGAGTATGTTTACTTTACTTTTTAATTTATATTACAATAATAGTATTTCTACACTATTTTATATTTAGAATTATAAATGATAATGTCTAAAACAGTATAATCGATTTTTTAAATTTTATTAAGGATGTTTTCGATCAATATTTTCAAATAATAATCTAAAAAAATCATCATACCATCATTATCTAAAACATCATATCTTTAATAGATAAAAACTACTATATACGTTTTCTTGTTGTTGTACATTGTAATATATGCTTGTATATCATAAATTCTATTAAATTATATATAAATAACACAGAAAAAAAACATAATGAGAAACAAATCTTGTTTTTCTATTCATTTTTTTCTTACAAAAATAAAATAAATTTGTTATTAGTGAAAATCTGTTAGAATAATATCTGTATGATACAAAGTATGATTATGAAGAACGAACAGATAAATCCTTGGCAAGAATGCAAATAACATTGATTCATATTCTCATGAATTTATTTTTATTTTTCTTCTTCCTTGGTTTGTTGAGATGATGACGCAAACTTCAAAAGAAAACATAATAATTTGAGCATAACACAGCCAATTCAATAAAAGAAAAGAGAACTATCTCTATCCAACAACTAAAAAAACCTCTATTGTATTAGAGCGCGAATGTACGCTGTAAATTTTCTTTAAACCCATCATACTGACAATGGATGATTGAAATAGATCGTACAATGAATCAAAACACAGTGAAATTAGTTGTGTGCATGTAGATAAGCTGAACGAACTAGCAGAAAACGGTAGTTTCTCTTTCTTTTTCTTGTTACTTTGGATTTAACAAGACTTATTCACTCAATGCACTAATGAACATGGAAACATACATCAACAAGAGCATGTTGGCAACAGTAGAAGCCATCATCCACTCATAATAGGTTGCTATGCATTATTCTTGTTTGATGAAGCCTGAGGCAACTAAAAGGAAAAACAGAAAGAATAAATAACAAAATTTTTTTTGTCTGATTTTTAAATTTTTCGTTTTTTTTCTCTTTTCTATTATAAATGATGATAATGCAATTCTCTTTTTTTTATATATTTCGTTCTTGTTCTTCCTTGACTCATGTTTGATGCATGTACACATAGTTTGCCTGTTACGTTCCGTCAGCAACACTTTTGAAATAAAAATACAACGATCGGAATAAGAAGTCTTGAAGTCGACAGCTACCAGTCAAACAAAAATAAAAGTGTCAACATAAAAAGGAAGAGAAAACCGAAACATATTTCGAGACAGAGATGAAATGTTTTCTTTTGTTGATTCATACAGTGTATAATAAGTATCCACGTTTTCATTGATATACGTAAATTGAAAAAAAAATCAGAAGACTATCACCATCATCGTCATTATCATTAAAGTGGACGAGAAAAATTCTGAACCAATGGCTAGCGACTCATCATCTACAACAAGTAAGCCAAATAAATCAGTAGCAGCAGCAGGAGCGACAATAGTGGTGAGCAGAAGTACCACACAGTCACGACCCGTTCGTCGAATGCTTCAAGATTTTCTTTTGATCTGGCTTGATGACAATTTCGATGAATCCAAAGACGATTATAAAAAATCAATACAACATTTATATGATATTTCGGCAATAGTCACCTCATTTACAGACGTTGACGAATGTATTGATTTTCTCACTGACATTCACAATCAGAAAGTATTCATGATTGTGTCGGGTGCACTAGGACAACATATAATACCAGAAATTCAAGAATACCCACAACTAACCTCCATTTATGTTTTATGTCATAATCCATCGACTCATACGGAATGGATCAAAACAATACCTAAGGTAAAAGGTGTGTACACACAAATTGAACCAATCTGTGACGCATTACAAATCGACCAAAGAAATTGTGGTCAAAATATGATCTCAATCAGTTTTAATCGTATTGATCCATTATTTATGTATACACAATTGTTAAAAGAAGCACTTTTGGAAATCGAAGATGATGATACAAAATCAATTAAAGAACTCGTTGACTACTGTCGTCTTCATAGTGATGCTGCCGAAAAAACACTCGAAAAGATCGAAAAAGAATATTGTAATCATACATCCATTTGGTGGTACACGGGTCCATATTTTATCTACTCAATGCTCAATCGTGGTCTTCGACTAATGGATGTTGATATAATAATGAAATTAGGTTTTTTCATTCGACATCTACATAATCATATCACACAATTACATCGTGAACAGCAAAGTAGCAAAGTAGCCATGCCATCGAAATTTCAAGTTTTTCGTGGTCAAGGCTTATCCATGGAAGCCTTTGAAAAAATGAAGAAAACCAAAGGTGGACTTATGTCGTTTAATAATTTTCTGTCGACAAGTCGTAATCGTGAGATTTCTTTCGAAACCTATGCACAATCGGCAGCATTGGATACGAATTCAGTTGGTATTCTCTTCGTTATGAACATCGATACGGCCATTTGCACAGCTTCATCGACACCTTTCATCAACGTGAAAAATGTTGGCTTCTACGACGATCAAGAAGAAGAAATTCTTTTTTCGACACATACAATTTTTCGCATCGATCATATAGAACGTATTGAAGACAAGCATACAGATCGTTTCTGGCAAGTCAATCTCACCCTCACTGGTAATCAAGATAATGATTTTAACAAACTTACAGCACATTTACGCGAAGAACTTGACGTCGTGGGAACAGGGTGGTCTCGACTGGGTCAAATTCTTATTAAGTTGGGTGAGCCTGCAAAAGCAGAACATCTCTATCAGCTGCTCCTTGAGAAGGCATCTTCTGATGGAGACAAAGCGCAGTATAATAGTCAACTTGGCTCGGTGTATCAAAGCATAGGAGAATACTCGAAGGCAATAACATTTTACGAAAGAGCAATCTATATGCACAAGAAAATGAGTCCACCGAGTCAGCTCAACTTGGCTGCTTCCTACGGCAACATAGGTTCGGTGTATAATAACATGGGCGAGTACTCGAAAGCACTTTCATCGTACGAACCATTACTTGAAATCCAAAAAATAGCTGTTCCTCCGAATCATCCTAGCTTGGCTGCTTCCTACCACAACATCGGTTTGGTGTATTATAACATGGGCGAGTACTCGAAAGCACTTTCATTGTACGAACAATCACTTGAAATCCGAAAAATAGCTCTACCTTCGAATCATCCCGACTTCGCTCAATCCTACAACAACATTGGTTTGGTGTATAATAACATGGGCGAGTACTCGAAAGCACTTTCATCGTATGAACGAGCACTTGAAATCGAAAAAATAGCTCTCCCTCTGAATCATCCCAACTTGGCTGCTCCCCACCACAACATCGGTTTGGTGTATTATAACATGGGCGAGTACTCAAAAGCACTTTCATCATACGAACGAGCACTTGAAATTGAAAAAAAAGCTCTCCTTCCAACTCATCCTGACTTGGCTGCTTCCTACAATAGCATCGGTGTAGTGTATAATAAAATGGGCGAGTACTCGAAAGCACTTTCATCGCACGAGCGATCACTTGAAATCCGAAAAATAGCTCTCCCTTCGAATCATCCCGACTTGGCTCAGTCCTACAACAACATCGGTAATGTGTATTACAACATGGGCGAGCACTCAAAAGCACTTTCATATTACGAAAAAGCACTTGATATCGACAAGAAAGTTCTTCCTCCGAATCATCCCTCGTTGGCTTCTTCCTACCACAACATCGGTTTGGTGTATAAAAACATGGGCGAGTACTCGAAAGCACTTTCATCGTACGAACGATCACTTGAAATTCGAAAAAAAGCCCTCCCTCCGAATCATCCCGACATGGCTTCTTCCTACAACAACATCGGTATGGTGTGTGATAACATGGGGGAGTATTCAAAAGCACTTTCATCGTATGAACGAGCACTTGAAATCAAAAGAATAGCTCTCCCTCCGAATCATCCCGACTTGGCTGCTTCCTACCTCAACATCGGTTCGGTGTATTATAACTTGGGCGAGTACTCAAAAGCACTTACATCATACGAACGATCACTTGAAATCAAAAAAATAGCTTACCCTCCGAATCATCCCGACATGGCTTCTTCCTACAACAACATCGGTGCGGTGTATGATGACATGGGCGAATACTCGAAAGCACTTTCATCGTATGAACGATCACTTGAAATCCAAAAAATAGCTCTCCCTTCGAATCATCCCGACTTGGCTGGTTCCTACAACAACATCGGTTTGGTGTATTATAACATGGGCGAGTACTCGAAAGCACTTTCATCATACGAACGATCACTTGAAATCAAAAAAATAGCTCTCCCTCCGAATCATCCCGACTTGGCTGCTTCCTACAACAACATCGGCATGGTGTATGATAAAATGGGCGAGTACTCCAAAGCACTTTCATATTACGAAAAAGCACTACAAATCAAGAAAATTGCTCTTCCCCCAGCACATCCAAGTACTGCACGCACAGAAAGAAACATTGAACTTCTGAAAAAGAAAATGTAATTGTTTTTTTTTAAACGAGAAAATAAAATGGCCTTCTTGAACACGTTTGGCTCGTCGAAGTGCACAAGCTGCAACACATTTCGCGCACGCGCGACCAGGGGCACCCTCCGTATTCTGTTGGGTTGTACAGTGAACAAAGCCGTCAATGATAAGGCAAACATACATTTATGTATGTATGACTAGTACATTCATGATCATCATCTTCGGAAAGACGATGATCAGATGGACGCTTCTAATCATACGTACATAGATGTATGTTATGTAGGTCTACCATC